TTTTTTGCTATAGAGCACATGCGCTCACCAGAAAGACAGAAAGATACAGAGAGACAGAAAGTGAGAAATTGTCCCCCAGGAGGATGGCCATGCCACAATCACTTCTCCTCCATTCTCCTCTTGGGATCTTGGGCACACACCCAAATACGCCTGGCATGAGTTTAAGCTACTGGGTCTGGGAATTGAACCACATCGACTACATGGAAGTCTAACAATATAGCCATCACTAATGTATTATTTCCCTTGGGTATTATATTTCATGGAGCTTTATCTACAATGGAAGAAAAATATTTTAAGTCCATATTCTTTCCTTTGCTTCTGACAATGAAACGGAGCCACAGGGGTAGGTAGATGGATAATCTATTATAATCTATTCCCATGATTCCCACATGGACACATGACCCAAACTGGGACATGGGAGTCTTCTCTGTGATTTTTATCTATATGTAGGTGCTAGGAGAGGGTTCTACTACTCTGGGATCACAAATTACAAGGATCCTCCATTCTTTAGATTGCCATGTTTAAAGAACCTACCTAAAAATGAAACCAACAGAGAGCCGCAGACCCCAGAAATGGCATGGGAGATAAGAATCTAAGCATCTAGATCCAACATCCTGGACTTCACTGTGCTCTCTCTGCACTTTCAATTACAAGTTAACACATTGCTTCTCCTCAGGCTCATTCGAAGTGAATTTCTATCACCAGTATAAAAGTTTTATCTACAACAAGAGTTCCAAACCACCTAAGATTTTTATATACTTGTCAGACAAAGCAGTCACCTCTCTGCTAAAGCAATCTACTTTCCTCCAGAGCAAGAACAAGATAATGCCTTCTGGTACAAACTTGATAGATTTTTATCAGTACAACTTTAAAAATACTATGGTTACTAAAATATCATTTTTTAATTACACTTATCATAGCGATATGGAATATAATGCAAAGCCGTGGCAAGAAGTTTATAAAGCTAACCACGAGCTAATGGCATATGGTTAGTACTAAATCAGAAGAAACTCTT